ATCGAGCAGCGAATTCTTGGTCTTGGTGTCGACTGTGGCCTGCAAGCGCACGAATATATTCATCTGGCAGTGCGAAAGTCCATCGCGCCAATCGGTAGATGGCCCATGATGAATCGTGTGCGCGGCTTCCCAGTGCGCGGGAGAGCAGCAAAAGCTGCGCATGCAGTGTGGGCAAGGAATCAGATGTTGCGTCGCGTCACCAGTCTCCATCCGCATCACCATTTCCGTGCGCGTGCTGAGGCGAGGAGGTTCAGAATCCGAATACCAGAGAATGAAACGGGAATGGCCGACCAGATGAGACATCGCGGTTCCCACTGGATCCAAGAATGCTCTATCGCGGTCTGCCTGCAAATTTTTCAGTAGATGTGGAGAAAGGCACAGATCGAATTCGACATACCTCTGCAGATAAGTGAAATAGATGTCGACTTGTTCATCTGTGAGGTTGCGTATTTCTTGAAGGTCAGAGCTTGGTTTTTTTGGAAGCAAAGATACGAGTCTCGCCGCTGCAGCTGAATTTTTCTCAAGCGAGGTGAGGGCTTTGCACATTGGTTTGTGCGTCTTCCAATCTGCCTGATCCATGGATTCAGAAGAGTGGAATATCCTCAGCTGAAAACGCACGTTTTGGCATTCTGCGATGACGGTTACTTTGGTTGACAGAAGGTGAATACCACTCGGTGAGAGTCAACGTACCCGTCCCACAATAGCTGATTCTACGGCATCCACCGCATCGAGAGAGCTTGACGTCTTCCTCTTTGTAGCATTTGCGACATGCGAGTCCTATCATTGCTTGCAAGGGTCCCCATTCCATGGTGGTCTGAAGAACAAAGGCGAAAGACTGGTCGCGTGATTTGATGATTTTGATCGGACTTCGGCGGCTTCTCCGTTCGCTAACCCTAACCTAACCCAAAACCGTTCCCGCAGCGCTGCGGGAACCCTCCTGCGCTCGCCGCTTTCGCCGTCAGAACCTCAGCCCGCGCCGTGCTTACTTGCTGCTGCGGAGTCAGCGCCGCGGCGATCAAATCTACCACGTCGCTCTTTGACTCCCACCACCATCGCGCCGCTTGACCCCCGCTGCCCGACGCCCTCTGCTAGCTCTGGACCAGTGTGTATCAACTCACACTGGGACCGGTGGATCCCACACCAGGGAGTCTCATACTCGAGGCGGTGGCCGTACTTGTTGGATTATCGTCCCTACGCAGTCTGGTCTTCCGCTCGCGATGTTGGGATGCGTCTCAGTGCTTCCACATATTCGCCAGTTGCGCCAGTGGAGTGAAACGTCTCAAATTCCTCATTTTTGACGGCATTCCTTCCAGCCGATGCTGTTAGAGATGGCATCCGAGAGACTCCACCGAGGGCGAGCCTGACGCTAATTTTGGATGTGTAGTGTTACAGGGATCCTCGGGAACAATAATTAATATTGTTCTCGCACACGGCGATGCACTGCCGTTGAATGAGACGGTCAACCGGTCTGCGAAAATCTCTGCGACCCGAGCTAGTTTCCATAAATCATTCAGACCAGCCAGACCTGGTGTACTGGGATTCTAAAGTGACGCGCAGGATACATCTAGAGTGCAGGTGCACCTATTCAAACGACAAGCTCTGACAATTCTTAGGGCGGTATATAAGGCCAGGACTCCGCAGAATACTCGGAAAACGAGAGGCCTAGGAGCCTTGGCGCTGCTACAAGGGTGCTTCTCAATATTCCCCGCCCTCTTCTGTCCGTTCAAACGGCCTGGCGTCGGTTCGGAATTTTTCCAACTGCGAAAAATAGCACGGTTGCTAACCCAACCTCGGCAATCCCACTATAATTATTTTTCACACGCGGCGATGCTCTCCCGTTCTAATTTGAATGACCGGCGTGGTATAAAAGGATGACTCTCCCTGACATTACCATTCCCATCAACGAACCTGCCATGGCTTTCAACCGTAGCTTGATCTCGCTCATTTTGGCCGCTCTTTCCTTGTCAATCAGTGCTCAAGCCCCAGACGAACCTTCGTACGAATCGAACGCCCTCGGCTCCTCACTCATTGTGACACTGTTTTCGACAGGCCTGGACAAAGTTTAGTCTATGATACCGCCCTCTCGACTGGTAAGCGCTGATACAGGTTCTCAAATTCTCTTTCTAATTTTCCGTTAAGGCCCCGTGGGCGGCTGCCTCACTGCATCGGGCAACGCCGACGGCGCGCCAGTGGTAATCTCCGGCTGCTTCGATGGCGAGGCCAGTGTGTCTAACACTTGGGTCGCCGCGAACGGTACCGGAATCGGCACTCTTCAAATTTTCGGGGACAAGGTGTGTTTTTTCCCTGACAAGCTTGGGTTTCTTAGCTCATAATTCGTGACTCTCCCAGTGCCTGGATGTAACCAACGGGGTAGACGCCGATGGAACTCCACTTCAGATCTCCACTTGCGTTGCTGGGGATGCTAGTATGCGAACATCAATTCTGTTATTCGTCTTGCCATTGAAACATGATTTGCACAGGCCAGCAGTGGATTTCCGCGGGCCAGATTGGAGGTACCCCGCACATCGTCTGGGCCGGACAGAATAAGGCACGTACATCCTTCGGCTTCTGAGCATTGAATCTGACTTTAACCTCAGTGCGTCAACGTGCCGAATGGAGACGTCACCGCTGGGGCCGTGGTGAGTTGTCCTTGTGTTTCGACCAAGTGTTCCCGCGGATTGATTTGCGCGTTCTCAGCTACAAATCACGGAATGCGACGCGACTTTCAACGACATAGACCAAAACTGGGGTATTGCGATTCAGAACTGAGGCGTACTTGGGGTAAATCCTACGCAGATGATCTCGTCTGGAGGCTGCTGATTGATTATTTCTTCAGGTTGGTATCTTGAATTCCAGGGAACACTTGTGCTCCTACAACTTCTTTTCATATCCGGGATCAGGGTTTGTCTTAAATGGACATCATCTTGTTTGAATGCATAAATCCGGCAAGCCCTGATCACACCAAACATACCAGACATCAGACCAAGCGCAACCAACATCAAACCATATAGAACCAAATTATTATTACACATTCAGATTTGAAGAACACCACCGAGACTGCGCGCCGAGCCAACGGCACTGGTAGCGAGTCTACGAGGCGAGCTATTTGGCGGACCTTAAATCCGCGTCGCTCATCACCCGCTCCTGCGTTTCCCGCGCACAATCCCACATCTTCCGTTCTGTTTCTGTACGAAATTGCCTGGAGTGGCTGCAACTATCATCGCAGAGCGACTACTCGACTTGCTGACGGCCTTCCGTCATTTGATTCGATATGTCCGCGAGCTAGAAGTCTACCATGGCGATTTTAGAGTTGTTCAATCTGTCGCCCAAATTCCCTGGTCCAGTGTGGATCAACTCACACTGGGTCTCATGGATCCCGGTTCAGGGGATGTTATACTCGACAAGGTCGCCGGACTCGTTGAATTATCGTCTCTTCACAGCCTTGTCTTCCGCTTGGGACGCTGGGATGCTGCCCAGCTTTCACGCATATTTGCAAGCTATTCTCCGGGAATCAAGCGTAGGGCTCTGTTTTTAATGAATGTTTAAAAACATGTTTATAAACAGGTGTTTATAAACACCAGTTTATAAAGTTCGGCTGAAAGTGCCTGTTTATAAACATTTGTAGTCACGAGACTGCTCGGCCCGAACACTGCCGGATCAAAAAAAATCCACCTCGCAGCCGTCAACATGGCAGATCCAGCCGAAGATGCTCCGACTACATCCTCACTCACCGCGAAATGCATTGGGTCACATTGTGACGGCGTTGATATCACCAATCCGTTTTTCCGCGATTTACTTGTGGATAGGCCCATCCCAGGTGCGAATGCCATTGGAAGCCTTGCTGATTGTCGGAGCGGGCCCTCGAGAGCACCAAAAACAAGAAAAAAGCGGCTGGTAACACTACGTGGGCAGGGGAGGTAGATACACTTCAATTTTAGCCGGTTTGGCGCACGGTGTTTATAAACATGTTTATAAACACCCTGTTTATAAACGAATAATTAAAAACTGTTTATAATTGCCTCAAGAATTATAAACAGAGCCCTAATCAAGCGCCTCACCACATTCGCGGCATGTCGACCTTCCCAATCTGTGCTGTCAGGGACTATCACTCCTCTCCAAGTCCCGAGACCGACCTACATCGGCCTCGCCCCCTCCTCATCCGTTGTCGATCTTCTGCTCCAACAGGAGTGTCCTTTGAGAGGGCACGGTGAGTATATCAGATTCTCATCCAACATAATATTGACATTGCCCTAGATCGGACCCTGGAGACATCAGCAAACCCTGATTTTGGCTGTAGTTGGCTGTAGTTGGCTGTAGCAAATCCAATTGTCCATGTAGTTGCTGTAGTGTCTATAGCACTATGTAGTAGTGTGTAGTTGTAGGCCACACTATGTAGTGCTCTGTAGTTTATCAACACATCTATGTAGTGCTCTGTAGTTTATCAACACATCTATGTAGTGCTCTGTAGTTTATCAACACATCTATGTAGTTCCTGGTAGTATCACAGTTTCGTGTAGTCATCTGTAGTGTGCAGGCCATGATATGTAGTACATGGTAGGATTGGGGTCTTTTTATAACCTTAGGCCTACCAGGAGCTTTGATATGTTGAATGTGAATAATTGCTAGCTAGTCGCAACATAGCTTGAGGGACTGCATATGACCTGATATTGGTTCCAAAACCGCCGGCTCTGGGAAAGTATTTTGCATTTTACAAGAGAACGAAGCCCTTAAATGAAAATTGACCCTAGATGACTCTTGTAGAGCTTTTTGAGCTCTACAACTTTGGTTTTTTGGTCTATTTTTAGAAATCTGACCCCCATCACTTGACAAGAGCTGGGCCTGTATTTTTTTTTTTTTTTTCAAGGAAGATGAGTCCATCCCCTGCTTGAGTTCGTTTCGACAACGAGGGTGAGATGTTATAGAGTAGTAATAGTAGGGTGTGGATGGCAGGGGCGGGGCGAGGGCCCAATAAAATGCTGTTAGTTTCCTTGGTATATATGGTCTCCATAGTGTAGTGGTTTTTTTTGCCAACTCATGTATTTTCCTCGTTCGCGCGAGGTCGAGAGTTCGATTCCCACTAGAGTCAATTATTTAAAATGTGTAGAAAGCAATAAAATTCATTAGTTGTCAATCTTAGTGTTGTAGCTACTTCATATTCAAGCTTACGATTCACAGAAGTCATTATAATTGAACATTGTAACAGATTTACTTTTATTTGAATTCGGCAGGACCCTTACTACAGAGAACTATGGAGGACCCCTATTCAACTACAGAGCACTATGTAGGGCCCCTAGTCAACTACAGAGCACTATGTAGGGCCCCTAGTCAACTACAGAGAACTACGTAAACCCATACCTTCACTACAGCAGCTACAGGCACTACAGGCACTACAGCACACTACGTAGGGCTATGTAGCGGGCCCAGGGTTTGCTGATGGAATCTGGATCTTACCCTTCTTCCCGCCCTCATTCAAATCGACGTCTTTAGCATCAATCCCTCATTCTATTGTTTCCTGGCCGGGGGCGCTTGCCCACCAAAAATCGGTTAGAGGTCATAAACGTGATGACCTACGGCGTCATATCCCGGTTGGCAGGATCTGAATCTGTGCTGCTAGGGCCGTCCATGTCGGCTCTGAGGGCGGTCAATATACGGGTACTCGAGAAACGCCCCGACTGGGAGGCTCTAAAACCCTCGCTACCGTGGGTAGAGACAGTGCGCACTGTGGAGTTGGAATTTTCGGGCCTCCATTCGAGGGGCCTGCTTTCGGTCAAATTCGTCCCACTTTATGCTCAGGTGAGTGTCCAATCTTGCTGTTCCGCTACTTATTTCCCTGAGTTGCTTCTTCTCAGGGAGTTTTGTTGTAGCTGCATCATAGGAACTATAATCAGGTCGAACCCTACTACCGGCACTCATACTTACTGTGGCCTCATTCTCCCGCTCAGTTGTGTAATTGCATTGTGAAATAAATGGTCTTGTACTGTTTTGGATTCAGGTGTCCCGCGGCATCTTCAATTCCCATCAGTCTATGCACGCAGTACCTTGCACTGGTGCTTGCTTTTTCAGTATAGTGCTTTGCGAACATATTCCTCGCATTGGTCTGCATGTGAATACCGACGTACTTCTCCTCTGAGCTTATGTTCAGAACATTTGCTCCGATTCAGAATTCAAGGCCATCTGGTGCGTTCCATAAAACCATTATAATCGTCTTAATTAAATTGACTACAATGAAATTTCTGGAACACCAATTTGCCACTTCATTTCGCCTTCGCTGCAAGCCCGCTGCGGACAAGGAGACGAGCAAAATGTCATCTGCCTGTGCCAGAATGGTTATTCAAACACTGGAAATGATCAGATCGTCTACATCGTGGCATTATGAGGTCAGCCATAAACAGATTCCAGAGCACCGGGGAGGTTGGATCACCAGTGAGTAGGCCAATGAAGGCTTTAAATTCTGCTGAACTCTGTGCCGAACATAATATTCCATCCGTTCATAGACCATGCGAAACCAGTCGAAGATTGCGCCTCCAATTCCCATGCGTTGGAGCTTCAGCCATAGCGTTGGATGGTCTGTAGAGGGGAACACATTTGTCGCATCCACGTTATGGTGCTCCAGATGGCGTGGGTCTAGTCTGTTAGCTACCGCGCCTGATAACCGTAGGGTCACCTTATTATGTAAGCTTTCCCTTTTAGGAACTCACGTGCTTTCGCGTTGATTAACCGCATATAATCCGTGCCCAGACGCGTTTTTTCTCGTGCTGACCAGATAAAATCATCGTGTACACTAGTACGGATATTTGCCGGACTCTGAATGAAATTTCCCTCCACTTTTCTATGACCTCGGACATCTGATTGTGCAGCGTGCTACGGGGTTTGCGCGCGGCGCTCATATGCACGCGCACACATCTTTCGGTATTCTCCGAGATACAATATATTGTGCGCACCCGAACCAATCACGCTAATCAAGAAAATATTTGATACATATACTTACTGATGCTCTTCATCTGTACTATACTCTTCGTCGTCGATGGAGACATCATGATCCAGTTCCTCTTCTTCATATTGCGACATTTTCCCCCTCCTCGTCATCTGATTCCGACACAACGAGCTCGTCCTTGGCTCGCCCATGAATCTCAGTTAAATACCAGGGTACACGACCGCGAGCCTCGTATTTAGCAGCCACCTTGGGAATGCTCAGGTTTTCGGTGAGCTTCTCCCAGCTCGCGATGGCGGTGTCCGGAGCACGGCCATTGGTCGATGCCCGCAATTGAGTGGTATCGGTAGGATCATTCGGATCGTCTTTTGTGAGGTTTCAGACCTGTTTGTGAGCCTCTTTGCTAACAAGAACCAAGGCCCAAGTCGAGAGGCTTGGCCTTGCGTAGCTGATATCGGTGTGCGAGGTTTTGGGTGAAAATGCAAGAGTGCGCTCCACAGAGTCCCGTTGATTTGTGTGCTCATAAACTAGTAGGGAAACTCGAAACGTTTATACCCAAACACAAAGTTCGCGGATATAAGCAAAAGCCTATGCAACCGACCAACAAAGTGCAAGATATAAGACGTAAGATTCCCAGTAGAAACCGACGAGTGTCAGTCCCTGCTTCAGAGCCTTTAAAAGGTTGAAGGGAGAGGTTTTGGGTAGGAGAAAGTGTGTAGAGTACTGTGTTGCAGAGATATTGCCTGCTTGCGCAAAATGATATATCCAAAACGGTAGATATTATAATGCTTCACAGCGACAAGGCAAAGCCAAGGCAAGGTTGAGTATCCGGAGACGATAGGCGCAATACCCAAGAGCATGTGGTGAGTTTACAACTCCGTGGGGTTTGTGGTGTGGGTGGATATAATCCAAAGTAGCAATTCCGACGTCCAAGGCAGTGTTCTAGTAGCAATCCGACGTCCAAGGCAGTGTTCTCGTAGCAGTTCCAACGTCCAAGGCAGTGTTCTCGTATCAATCCGATGTCCAAGGCAGTGTTCTAGTAGCAGTTCCGACGTCCAAGGCAGTGTTCTAGTATCCCATATAATTCCGATTCAAATATACATCCAATAGAGTAAGATTTCGAGATGCCACACCCTTCTATATGGTAGTGCACAGCCAGAAGATCCCAGATCGCCCCGAATCGCAAGCGTAAGCCTACTAGTCGTGGGGTGATGCTGTGTCCTTCTAATAGCGACAACCTACTACTTATATACAAGTCCCAGAATAAATAAGTACAAGCAGATATAAGAAAATATGAGTCAAACAGCCGCGTATCCGTCGGATAGTTATCCGGTATAGTGAATCCAGTCGATGCCATTGGCTGCAAGTCTCGAGTACGCCATATTACAGTCATCTGCCAAGACAGAACCTCAGTCAGCAATCAGCTGAAAGGCCAAAAGCTCAGTCAGCACTGAGCTTATTTCCAATCCGCCCAAACCGACATCAGATACAGGATTGATTCCTATATCCTGCACTCCTCGTTCGTTTCCCTCCAGCTAGCATCCCTATACCGTGTAGTATAGTGTCGCAGCTTTCGAACGATACCCCTCACGGCTTATATCCATAATTGGGTTCTTGGTAGAAGTCTAATCTGACCCTTTGGGAATCTCCGATCAGGCTGGCAACTACGGGTATAGTTGAGCCCGTCGGGTATAGTCGGGTATAATCCGAAACAAGGTCTGTCCGGTGTTCTAGGTCGTCATCTGATCTAATGTCCACTTCTCTGAAACCCTAATGTGTCACAACGGTATTGCAGCTCAACCCAATTCGTTACTTGGGCTTATACCCAACATAACCCAATTGAATATGAAGTTACTCATGATGTTTAGCGGACTACACAAACCCTTACATGTTTCAGGGCGAGTGCAGCCAGTCACCTCGACGTATTACCCCCTTGATGACCCGTTACTCTGTGATCTCAGCCCAACCAGCTACCTCTGAGTCTCGGTACTAGTTCTGGATATAAGATAATATGCATTGCAAACACAATTGAAAGGCGCAAAAATAGCGTGTTCCACTAGTGGTTATTTGCAAGGCTTATCACCGTGGCAGCTGGCTGTAGCGATGATTGTACATAAGGTCAATGATGTCGGCCATGGTTATGTTGTTTTGGCCGCTCAGAAACGCAGAAACCATAGCTACTAAGCTACATGGCAAGCCGTTCGGGGATTCTTTGTACCATGTGGTCGTTGATGAAATAAGAGCTCCAGAAAATGGCCTAGTCCGTTGAGATCTTTGGATATGAGGTAGGCTAGGATCTACGAGTACAGCTTAGTACGAGTCGCCTCGGAGTTTGAAAATTATGATGGCATGTCCTCTGCACCTTCCAAAGCTCCCACTGAAGCTGTTCTTTTTAGAGATACAAATTTCGATCAATATGAGGCGCTCATATTTTTTCGTGGATTTTATCGCAAGTAATGAAGGAGCTCTGAGCATTTCTTTTGGAGGTTTTTGGGCAATAATTGATGGAGCTGATCGTTTAGCGGTTGCCAAGGCGTTTCAATTTCAAACTCCGAGGCGACTCGTGTTCGCCTGTATTCGTAAGTTCCAGCCTCTCTAGTATACGTGATTCTGAACGACTGTCTTCAAGTATCACGCCCGGTAGACTAGAGAGGCTGAAACGAGCCTAGATATGAGGCCCAGTATAGTGTGCATCTTCTCCCATTTACTCCTCTGCTTGGTCCGTAGTCTCTTCTGTGACGATCCAGCCGGAAAAGGGAGAACGGCAGGGTTGGGAGTAGCCGGAGTCGTGGGTGCGGTTCGTGGACCACTCGTGCGGGGAGTTGGCGGGTGATAGAAGTCAACGGAGTCGAGGTGGCTAAAGAGGAAGTCCATTGGAAGCGTTGTGCGTCCTCAGAGACACCAAAAACGCGCGAGGTGACGCGTCCTGCTAAATGGGTTGTTTGTTCATATTAAATTGATCTTTACATAATAAGGCGACCCTACGGTAATCAGACCGTGGTAACTAACAGACTTCAGAACGAGGAACGAGCGAGGGAGTCTGTCAAGAGAGACTAGCGTGGGTCCACAGTTGTAGAATGGCAAACTGCCAGCCCAAGGAAACAATGAGTTCCCAGTTGTCTAGAGGTGATGTTGCCCATGCTGGACAATGAAAG